CCTGCCAAATGTGAACTTTGGCCTTTGGGAAACCCCTAAAAAAAAAAAAAAAAAAAGAAGAAGAAAAAGAAAAATGGTTTAAATCGAATATTAAGCAAATTCAAATAATTTTTAATTAAGTTTTACCATACATATTTTCATCTCTAAAATAAGACATGGACAGACAAATATTGTCATTAATAATTAAGGCTATGACCATTGATCAGCATTTATCTACTCCTTGGTTTGTGATTATTAAAAAACTAATATAAAAAATAAATTCAATGTACCTTTAAAATTATGATAAAAATATATTCCCTAATTCAAATCCTACTATCTTCAATCAAGGGCAAAACTAATCTCTGAAAATATTATAGGAAATACCTTAAAGTTTCTCACCCATCTACTTGCACATACTTCAAAAGAATTTTAAGTCTTCACTAATGACTCAGGGATAAACTGTATTTTTCATCAACTTAATTCAAACAGAAAAATATACTGCTACTGTTTAAACAATCTGAAGGAGAGATATACTACAGTTAGCAAAAAAGTTTTAAGACTAAAGGAAAGTCACTTAGCGTACTTAATGGAATGAAAATATGATAAATGGAACCAAGATGTATACTTTTTACCTGAAATTTGCCCCTGGTGCCACAGAGAAACTTCTTTAACATGACTATTTTCATTTCATTTTACTAACAAAATAATTAAATAGGAAAGCAAGTTTATCAGCAATACTGGGTAAAGTAACATTGGAACTGTGAAACAATAATTTTAATCATTTGTGGGACCAGCAGTTAGTGTAATGGCTATGTTGCTGGACTCCCACATAGTTGACTGTGGTTCAAGTCCTGGACCCGGTGGCTTAAAACTCACGCAGGGCGCGTGTGTGTGCGTGCCCAAGATCCCGAGAGGAGAATGGAGGAGAAGGGATTGCGGTGTGGCCATCCCCCCCGGGGGGTGATTTCTCGCTTTCTGTCTCTATGTCTCTCTGTCTGTCTTGCGAGCGCACGCGCCCTATAGCGAAAACCTCTCCAAAAAATATATATATCTAAAATAATTTTAATCATTTGCAAATTACTGTAATTGCAGATCAAAACCAGTAACTTGTATGGAATTTATAAGATTATCATAATTACTTAGTAATAATGTATTGCTATCTTATATTCCCAGTAAGAAATGGATGCCCCCATCCCAAGAAACAAATTTAAGACTTCTGTGTTTTGAATTGAGAGTAAGTTTAGCATCAAGACTGGAGGCCTTCTTGAAAGGTGAAATTTGTTAATCATAAGCTACAAAGGAATAAAAATTTAGCTAATGACAAGATATTTAATACTAAGGCTACATTAAATTATCAGTTAAAATCACACACCAAAAAGAAATTTCTAAAGCTGAAAATCTTAAACTAATGTTTCTACGCAAGCTGTTTACTGACAAAAAAACTAGACAGTTTAAAAGCTGATCAAGGAGCATGTAACAGAACACAATTATTGGGAACCAGCAGTTAGCGTAATGGCTATGTCGCTGGACTCCCACGTAGTCGACCGCAGTTCGTGTCCTGGACCTGGTGGCTTAAAACTCACACCGCGCGCATGTGCGTGCGTGCCCAAGATCCCGAGAGGAGAATGGAGGAGAAGGGACTGCGGCATGACCATCCCCTCTGGGGG